AAAAAATATACTTGAGTAAGAACAATTCATTCTTTGACATTGCACCAAACCTTAGATACCAAAAACGAAAAGGTAAAATGAAACATTTTAGATTAATAGGACGACTATAACAGTTCAATTCATCAAATTACAGTAATTTGATAGATTAAATGCATGAAAATGTGTCATCCATATGGAAGGGATGCAGTCAGCGACAAGGCAGGTTCCCTTCCTCACACAAGTCACCACTTCAGTTCAAAATAATATCTCTATATTGTGATGTGATTAATCTAAGATCATCGTCACTGAATTATGACAGCAATATGTTCTACAACCAATGGCATACAAAATCCTAAGATGAGTAGAGACAGAAATACACACAAGAGTTGCACATACCCTGCTAGAAGTCCAGTTGTCCACCTCAAATATATACGAGAATGGATTTGGAGATGAAAGCCATCGCCCACTGTTGCATCAACCAGTAAATTACCCTGATGTCAGAATTGTATGGAATCATAAATTTAAAGCAGCTGAACATTTAAAGTTCTTCGCAGTCACTGAAACAAAAATGATAATAATGTTAAATTACGAGTGCACCAGGTAAAAGCACAAGGATTCCAAAGAACAAAAAATCTATTACCAAGACTCTTTAACTCATCCAAAGATGCATATATATACTAGAGGGGGAACTGTCTTTGTTCTAAAATTTGTAGATCCCACAAGCTCAAAGCCAAAGAAAAAAGAGAAAAAAAAAAGAGCATCCTGGTTTTCTCTCACTCCATCACATCAAAATAAGTTTCATATATTTATCTTTTCTTCTAAGATTCTATTACACTTCAATTATACTAACAAGACTTCAATTTCGGTTGGTCTTACTCTTTCTTTTTTTTTTATTTGCGATGTTCGGTTGGTCTTTCTTAACCATCAATTTTTTATGTTTTAGTGTATGGTTTAGCTACATATTAAAAATATATTTATTATATATATATTTTAAAAATTATTTTATAAGACAGACTACATATAGTTCACCTTGTAAAATTAATTAAATATTTCTAAAAAAATAATATAAAAACAAATTTAAAGGCATTTAAGTAATTTTATAGGATGAACTACATACAATCCACTTTGTAAAACAATTTTCTCATATTTTTTTTAGTTTAACAGTTAGGGTGTTCCTTGCTATTTTTTTGGTTTAGCATTTAGGGTGTTTATAAGTTAATTTGTATACACTTTAAAATTAATTCTTCCCTATATTAATCAAAAGTAAGCTGTCCACATTCACCAAAATTAAGGAAACATTCACTTATACTAAAGAATTTACGAGTAATTATCTTTTCATTAGCTTTTTTAAGGAATCAAACCTTAGTTAATAAGTTAAGTTTTTTGATAAATAAGTTATATTAAGTCAAGTTATAAGTCATTCTCCGATTCCCTGAAAAATGGAAAATGCAAGCAACTTTTTTATTGTTTTCAATCTCAAATTTGAACATCTTTGAAGTGCTCGAAAAAATTTCAAAATAATTGAAAATAAAAATTTTTATTATAAAAGAAAGAGTATATTCTCTTATCAACTAAACCACAAGTCATTGAGTTATTATTATACATTTTATATAAATATATATTGAAAAAATAAAAAATAAAAATAATTTTATCAATTATCTAATTAAAAATATTCATGACATTTTTTTATATAAATTAATAAATAATATCCATTTAAGATGAGCTTAACTTAAACATTTAAACATATTAACCCTTTAGCATTGAGATAATAATAAAATAAAATTAGTGTTTATCTTCCTTACTATTTAGGATTAAAAATTTAAAATTTAAAATTAATATTTATCTACTTTACTACTTAAAAATTAAAAGAAACTTGCCCTAAAACTAATTGAGCTGATAGGCGTTAGGAATATGTTGCCGTCTGGCCGTCGAACTAGTTTTGGTCCGGACCGGCCTTAACCAAAGTGAAAGAACATGCAAGTATGCAACATTGTATCTCAAAACAGGGAGGAAGAGGTACAAAAATGGAAAATCAATTCAATCGATTCCACATTGCCAAATTTGTACAGTGTATTCTGCAAGTCTATGAAATGGATCTGAAAGTCTAGAAAATTAAGCCAAGTTTATAAACATAGAACCACTAGAAGAGAAGAATTAAGAAAGCCAACTGCATTTATTCTAAAAGAGCTAGCAAAAATGGGAATTTTCAAAGGAAATGAGCATGTTCTCCCTAGTGGGAAAGTGAGGGTTCATCAACAGGATTCCAGAATCTGTTGTAAAACCACATTGAATCAGCTTCAACAGCATATCCTTCATGGTTGCGGTTCCAGGAATAGTAAGCATGAGTCCTGTTCTTGATAGAGAAAATGGCATGACCAAAACTGGCTTCTCGGTAAGCTGAGTAGTCTGGCTGTGGCTCAGTCATGCTGCAACATAAAAACACATTAACAGTTTAAGCATACAACAAAGTATGGAGCAAGATAAGACCAATATGTTGCATCAAAGAAAAAAAATCATTAATTACTTGTTTGCTAAGCCTTCAGTATTCCCTCCATCACCTATGGTTATGTATACCGGAGCAGATGGATCCTTCACAGGAGTGGCTTGGCCATTGGTAATATTGTATGCAATGTTAGATACACGTTCCTGCGTACATGTAAATTAGTTGGGACAAAATTCTTGGCCATGAGTCTAGGGAAGAGTACTAAAGCAACAAAGTGAACTTACAGTTCGCTCATAGGCATGGACGTGTCCAGCGAATACAACATCAACCTTGTGCTTTACAAGCCATGACTCAAATACAACTCTCATGGATTCTCCTTCCATGTAATGGTAGTTGTAACTGTTATACCATGGAGAATGCACAACAACAATTAACCATGGAGTCTCAGACCTGTTAACTTTTTGTAGCTCCTTTTCAAGCCATAGGTTTTGAGGAGTGTATTTACCTGAGGAAAAAGGAAAATAGAAAGTTACCTTAAGTCCTTAAGGCATGCAGCATATATTCAGCATTTCAAACTCATACACTTAAAGAATATTTGCAATTTTATGTATGTTTACCATAAGCTGCATATGAAGATAAGAATATGATGTAAGCTGAAGCCCTCTTTATTGAGTAAAAGAAGGGAGAAGTGCTCCCTGATGCTCGAAAAGGAACACGATAACGGTGACTGAAAGGCTTGAAAGGTTTATCTTCTCCCTGCAGTACGTATACACAATACAATGCAATGACATCTAGCTCAACAAAGTAATGGAATAAACGATCTAATGCTAACAGAGAATTTCCGGCAACAAACCAATAAAATGGGAAAAGATGCTCACAAGATATGGGACATAATCGATTTCATGATTTCCTACAGTCCACATCCATGGTTGATAAGCAACACTTCTCTCAACGAACCTTCCCCATGTATCCCACCTGACATTATCGTGATTGGGATAATCATCTGCATAAGACATGTCTCCCGCAAACAATACTCCTTGACCCTTATGGGGACTTGATTCATAATGAGTTAGTGTCACATTTGAATCAAAAGTTTGCCCTAAATCACCTGCAAAAGTGATCTCCAGTTACGAGGTATCAGCACATCTAAACACAAATGGAAGACATGTACAAATAGGTTAACCTATCTAACATCAACTACTTGTCATAGAAACTTCCAAGTTCAAGGAGAAATTTTGTCAAACACATTAGAGACAGCTAAAGAAGTGGGAAATTTTGTACAGTGCTGAACCTTCATGAAAATCCCTTACCCTTAAATCTTAACCAAAATCAAAATTGTTACCCAAAGCTTTTACTTACCTATCAAACCAAATGTGTATGGAACATCAGGGCCAACTTCAGGAGGAGTTATAAACCAGAACCTCCTCACAGTCTGTCCAATCCCAACCTCATAGTAGTATTTGGTGTTGAACTGCAGATAATGAACACATTCAGAACAAAGAACAGAATAATAATGGGATAATTAATGCTATGGAAAAAGATGCAGTGAAATTCACCTCTAAATTTTTTACGTTGCAGTGGTGGATATACCCAGAGGTATAATCATGGAACTTATATCTGGTGAGCTTGCCCTCTGCCATTTTCTTGTCCTTGGAACCCTCACTCCAGTAAACAACTGTATTTGAGCCCGGTTCGTCCATAGTCACCCATGACACAATCATAGCTTTTCCCACATGATCCCCTTGGGTTATATGAACCTTAAATTCGAAACACAGACATGTCGAAACATCCAAAGAAAGGAAAACCCATGTCAAAAATGAAGAAAAGCATCCATTTTTCAACCTATATGACCAAGAAAAGCATACCTGCTGAGGTGCATTGTAGCCTGGAGGGGCTTGAAAGACATCACTTTCAAGAGGCATGTCGATACAGCCCTTAATGTTCCTCACATAACTGCTGGTCTTACCGCCATTACAGAGTATTGCTGCATTCAAAACCAAATACAAAACAAGAAGATAAAATGCTGTAAAAGAACCCATGTTTGATCTAATCTTCTTGAACTCAGCTGAGATTTCAATGCATATTTTCTTCTTCCTCAGTCCTTGTACTTATAGGACTTTGGATGGAGAATATAATCTGTTATTTTCCCGAGCAATACGGGGGAATATTCAGGCTTCATTCGAATTTATACGCAGATTGTGTGTTAACTGTTTGAGAGTTAATAGGACTGCTCGACTAGGATTTACTCGGTGCTACTAGTTCTCGTCTTGAAGATTTCTTTTCTAATATCAATTTTTTTAATAAATTTATAGAATTTTAAAAATTATAGATTTTATTCATATCAAACAGTAAAATATCAAAAATTTAAATAAAAAAAAAGAAAAAAAAAAAGAAAAGAGAAGAAAAAGAAATTATCCACTTTTTTCAAGAAAGAGTTGTTAGTACTCTTACTACTTTGGGTTTTATACTTTTATTTCCACTTTTAAAGATTGTCCTTTTTATATTATGGACGGCGCATATCTAGGACTAGCTGAGCTAGAAGTCTAGTAACCAAAAAAATATTTTACACTCTAATATATATTAAAAATATAGATCAAGTATTAAAATTATTAAAATATTTTAAATAAATTTTTTTTAATATTTATTTGTTGATAGTAATTTAAAGGTTTTAAAACTAGAATATATTTTGAATATACAATTTATACTAAAAAATATCAAACCCTATGAATAATTACATTATCAAAATAAAAGAAGTGTTGTGTGATAAGTTAAAACTTTATGATATTTTACTTAATTTCACATAAATTTCATTCTTTGTCGAGAGAAGGATTTTAGAAGATTTCATAGCTTTTAAGACCAAACTGCAGAGCTCAAAAATCTGAGGATTAATTGCACAGAAACCAGAAATTATGGACCAGTACTGTCATTTTGCCATTAAGCAAATTGCATTTTGGCCCAAAGTCACGGATTTTTGTTAAGGTGTGGGCACTTAGTTCGGCGTGTCGACAACTTTGGTAATTCCCAGGTACTTCCCTGAGAGGAGATAAGAATTTCTCAATAATAAAAAAATTAAAAAGCTAATATTCTCAAATTAAATTTTATTTTTTTGAAAATTTTTTATTTTAGTATAAATTTTTTTTATTTATAACTATAATTTTATATTTTATTATTTTTATTATAAACTAATATAACTAATTAAGATTATAACGTAACCTAATTAATTTGATATAAAATTATATGATTTTTGTACTTTTAATATCATTATTTTATTATGAGTATATATTATTACTCTTAATATTTTTTAATGCTTGATTACCATTAAAATTGACATGAAGAGCATAATTGAGACTAAAAAGAGATTTTATATAATAACTTCTAATAATATATACCATGAATTAAACAAAAATTAAAGATGAATCAATATAATTTGTGTAATATTAGTAATAAGAGTGTCTCTGGTTCATAAAATTTACTAAGAATTTTATAAAATATAATACATGTTTATCTATTTAAATTCATATCAAAATATAGTAAGTTAATATGTAAAGAAAGTTTGTTAATAACTTAATATATCTAATATGATATGAAATCTCGTTGTGATATAAGTATTAAATATCTTAAAAGCATGATAATTTAAAATTTATATTAATTGATTCTGGTAAACTCGAATGCCTTAATACTTCACATTGGTGATTTTATTTTAAGTTATTATTTTTTAATTAGTTTTTAGTTAGAAATTCTCCCTTTTTAATTGTTCAAATGATTCTAAAATTAGTTATTTTTAGTATATTTAGTCATAATTTTTGTAAGAATGATATTCCATTCATCACTTTATTATTTGAGCAACTAATGCATTTGTTAATGATTTTAACGTTTATAGTACACAATTCTACATAACATTAATTATTAAATGTAGTTTGGATCCCTAATATTGAAGGGTCTCTTTTTATTAATGATTTATATTTTATATTTAATACAATCCAGATTGTTTTATAGGTTTCCTTTCAAAATTATACTACGAAAAATTTTAGTAGTGTATAAACATAGTTAATTAGTATAGATTTAGGAGAAATGAAGAGATATACAAAGAAATTATTATTATTATTATTGAATAAGGGGAATTTGGGAGAGAAAGGGAATAATGTTACAACTTTCTTTAAAAGGAACTTGAATCTTAGCACGTGCCCAAATTTTTGCTGCACATTGCCAGTCCACTCGGGACTGGCAGTGCAGATATACAAAGAAATGAGAAGAAATGATTGAATTTTTATTAACGTAAATTCTGATTGTGTTTATTAAAAAGAGGTAACATAGAATTTGAGAAGGAAAAATGGGAATTTTTCATTAATGAGCAGACAAATACTCATCAGCAGGATACCAGAATCTGTTGAAGAACCACATTGAATCAGCTTCGACAGCATATCCATCATGGTTGCGGTGCCAACTATAGTAAGCATGAGTCCGGTTCTTGATAGAGAACATGGCGTGGCCAAAACTGGCTTCTCGGTAGACAGAGTAAGCAGGCTGGGGCTCTGTCATGCTGCGATATGGAAAAGGACATTTTATTGACATATATACAAGTAGAGGCAGAGAATATGGAGCAATGCAATGAGAAAAGATTAGTATTCCCTCTTACTTGTTTGCTAAGCCTTCAATATTCCCCCCATCACCTACGGTTATGTATACTGGAGCAGACTGATCCTTTACTGGAGTGGAGAGGCCGTTTGTAATGTTGTATGCAATATTGGACACGCGTTCCTGGAACGCAAGTAATATTAGTTTTGTGGCAAAATCAGCGAATTCTTGGCCCTAACTCCTAAAGTACAAGAACTTACAGATCGCTCGTAGGCATGGACATGACCAGCAAATACAACATCAACCTTGTACTGAACAAACCATGATTCATACATTACCCTCATGGTTTCTCCTTCCATATAATGGTAGTTGTAGCTATTATACCATGGTGAATGCGCAAGAACAATTAACCATGGTGTCTCAGTTCTGTTAACTTTGGGTAGCTCTTCTTGAAGCCAACGGTACTGAGGAGTGTACTTACCTGGCACACAAAATTTATAGTTACCAGAAAAGATCCAGCGGATATGTCAAATTCATATGCATAAAAATGGTTAGGATCTATGTATCTTTACCGTAGGCGGAGTATGAAGATAAGACTATAATGTATGCAGAAGCCCTCTTTATTGAGTACCAGAAGGGAGCAGTACTGTTAGATGCTCGGTAAGGAACATGATAGCGGTGAGTAAAAGGCTTAAAAGGTTTTGTTTCGCCCTGCAATATGTATACAGTTCTTATGTTATTTTCAAGTAAGCCAAAATGTCTTGTTCCTGATGTAATAAGAACATGTGTTAGTGCACCATGCCAATCTTTTATAGCTTTCTGCTAACAATAATATGTTGCTCAACAATGACAACTAAAGTAGTGGAATAGATGATCTCAGGTTGGTTTGGTAGAAATGGAAAAATAATGATATCAAGCCCGACAAGCCAAGGACATGTAGAAGGATATGTGCTTACAATTTCTGGGGCAAAGTCAATTTCATGATTCCCTGCAGTCCATATCCATGGTTGATAAGCAGCACTTCTCTCAATGAACCTTCCCCATGTATCCCACCTAACGTTGTCGTGGTTAGGATAATTATCTGCATAAGAGAGGTCCCCAAGATACAATAATGTTTGACCTTTCTGTGGGTTTAGCTCATAATGAGTTAGTGTCACGTTTGAGTCAAAAGTTTGGCCTAGATCACCTGCAAAATCACCGCCGAATGCAGTGTGTTAGCATGTTTAACCAAAGATGACAGACACATAGGCAAACAGTATTACTTCCTTTGCTTTTTCTCAGGCTATCACTTACCAATGAGGCCAAAGGTGTATGGAACATCAGGGCCAACTGCAGGAGGAGTTACAAACCAGAATTTCCGCACAGTATATCCAAACCCAACCTTATAGTAATATTTGGTGTTAAACTGCACAATGATTTACGAAAATAGGTGGACATAACATAATAGTTAGTAACTTCAAGCCTCATTAATTTTATCATCAGTTTGCAGATTATGAACTGGAGCAGAACACACAAACGTATAATGAAATCAATTCTGTGAAGCAAATCGATTAAAAGAATTAATTGACATTCACCTCTAAATGTTTGATGGTGCAATGGTGAATATAAGCAGAGGTGTAATTGTAGTACGTATAGGTATAGACTTTGCCCCTTGCCTTTTTCTTGTGTTTGCTGTTCTCCCTCCAGTAAATTACTTTGTTGGAACCTGGTTCATTCGGAGTCACCCATGACACAATCACACCTTTGCCCACATGATCTCCTTGTGTTATATGAACCTTAATTCAGAATACCATTATGTCAAAACATCAAATTGAACCAGTTTCAGACCACCCCCTCTCCACCCTTCCCCTTGCCTTTCTTAATCAAAAGCATTAGAATGTTAAGAAACATAGATAAATAATGAAACAATAAAAAGTCACAACTAGAGAAGGAAAACAAGAACAAGAGAAGGAAAGGAAATACCAAGGAAATGGGCAAAAGTCACACAAACCTGTTGAGGTGCATTGTATCCATGGGGGACTTTAAAGGTATCGCTGTCCAGAGGCATATCCACACTTTTCTCCACCTTCCTCACATAGCTGCTAGTCTTGCCTCCATTACAGAAAACTGCTCCATTCAAAACCAAGCCGAAAAAAAGAAAAACAAAAGTTGAGAAGGAACCCATGTTTGCTTCTCTGATCTAATTTTCACACCTTACTAGAAATAAAAACACTGTTCTCTTGGCTATAGACACTGAAACCGTAATTTGAGTTGAGACTTTCCAAAAAAAATAAGGGGAATATTCAAGCATTAAGGAATATGCAAATTAAATGTCAACTGTTTGAATGCTAAAATGCTTTTGTTTCTCTAGATCTGCACCAGTTGCCATCACCAGGAGAATATATAGTTTTATCATGAAATGAAAATATGGAATGATATGAACACACATTGTTCCTTTCAAAGAAAACTACATGCTTGCAGTATAAAAGGTAGACCTTAAGAAATAAAAATTATTGATTCTGTTTTTTATTTTTTTGATCTTCAGGTATTGGTTCTGTTGTTCAAAGAAAACTACATGCTTGCAGTATAAAAGGTAGACCTTAAGAAATAAAAATTATTGATTCTGTTTTTTATTTTTTTGATCTTCAGGTATTGGTTCTGTTGTTTAACGGCAAGCATGGAAATGGCATTATTAGATTTTAGATGAAAAATTCCATATTTTCACTAAGATCCAAAAATTTGGTATTGAAAATATAAAATTACTATAGTTATGATGTCACGTGCCATTATAATTTTATAATGTGATTACATAATTAGTTTTTTTATTTAAGAATTTATTGTAATATTATGTATATTCACTTATTTAGTATTATATTACATTTATTTAATGTTATATTATGATTATAAATTTACAATTTTATATAACATT